GCTGCGTCATGACTTCGCCGTTTACGTCGCTGATTTTCTCCCCAACTGCGTTACGGCGCTCACAACAACAACAACAACAATGGGGGACTACGTCGGAAGTGTGTGTTTGCAATCTAGTCACTTTGCTCAGCGCTACTGCTTGTAACAACTTGTATTTGCCGTACTCACCTTTAACGTTAGCTCAGGTTAATCTCGCCCCCCTCCGACGTAAGCGGTTCTTGCTTCTAGACCGACAATTTTTTGGTGCTTGAAACGAACCGGATTCCAGAGCTTAGAGGCGGCTCCGCAGCGGTGTGAACAGGAAAACCGGTGCTTTTCAAGCTCCAGCTCCGAACCGGCCCTGGAACCGCGTTTTTGTGAAAGCCCCAAGAGAGATTAACTCAATGGTGCTCTAGGGGGAGATTCAGGTGATAAGGGGGGGGGGGGGGGGGGTTACCTTGGTTGCTTATTGGCGAATGGTTACACAAGACAAAACATTGTTATGACATCATCAAGTGGCCAAAATCTGAGAGAGAGTCTCTTTACACAGAGGGGACACGTGTTGATGCAGAGGAGACATGAAGAAGAGGATTTAGCAGAATGGGTGACCTTTAAAATAAAACAGCAAAATAACAAGATGAGAAATAAAGAGACGTATTTACAGAATAGGACAAACAGCTGAGGGACGGGGATTCGTTTAAAAAATGAGATTATAGGGTTGAGAAAAAAATGACACATCTTAAAAATATTTAAATAAGTAGTAAATGTATATGAATATTTCCCGCTTCCCCAACTCAGTGATAGTATTTTTTTAGGACCTAAATACGTGGTCGCTTTGATAAAGTGAGAGTATAAAGTCATCACAGCCATGTCCTCTTCAGGCTTCCGTAGAGAGAAATGTGCTTCGTACATTCAGTAAAACGCTCCGAGAGAAGCCCTTTCAAACGTCCGTAAAAACCTCATCGTCTTCCTCCTCTTCCTCCTCCTCTTCATCGCTCCCTCCTTCAAAGATGGCCGTCATGGGGGCGGCGAAGAGGCGAGAGCGAGCGGAGAACTGCCGGCTGGAGGAGCAGGGGGGGGTGAGGGAGCGAGGACGAGGGGAAGAGGAGGAGGAGGAGGAGGAGAGGAAGAGGAAGTGAGGAGAGGAAGAGGAGGAGGAGGAGGAGGCGAGGAAGAGGTCCCGCCCCCAACCGAACCCAATCAGGGAGAAGTTCTGATCGAATGGCGGCGAGTTTAAACCGGACAGATCTGGGGTTTCTGCAGCTTTGCTGTGACGCTCTGCCGCCCTCTGGTGGTCGGACACAGGAAGGACACGGAGACGCTCAACGGCAGAGATTCGAGAAGAAGAGCGACCGCCCTTTCTCAGCAGGAGAGCCTTAAAGCTGTCGCTCCTCGACCACCTCTGACCCTTTAGGGAGGTAGGGGTGACCGGAGAGGAAGAGGAAGAAGAGGAGGAGGAAGAGGAAGAAGAGGAGGAGGAAGAGGAGGAGAGTCGTCCATCATCTCCTGAATCCCGTCTTCCTAACATCTTCCTCTTAGACCTGAGACAGACAGAAAACAAACCCGTCACTTCCTGTTCTTTCCGTCCGAGCCTGGTCTGCTGTGATTGGTTAGCTGGCCGGCTCTGTTGTGATTGGTCAACTGCTTAAGGGTGAAAACAGGGATGTTGCAGACCATGGGGGCTGGATGTGTGAGGGGGAACCAGGAAGATGGAGAACAGAGGGCGCTTCAAACAAGAGAGGGAACAAAGGGACAGGAAGCTAAGGTTTACAGGGTAATAAAGATATAGGAGTCCTAGAAGAGCCGTACGAAAATAAGAAATCTGTAAAATAAGGTAAAATCGTTTGTGAGAAAAAAGTGACATTTACATAAAAAAATATAAACTAATATTTTTTTATGATTTACCTTTAAACATAATATTTAGTTTTTTTTACATTTATTTAGCTTTTCTTTTACAGATTTATTATTTTTTACGGCACTTTTAAAAATCTTCTAGAAAGGGACAGGTTAATATTTACCTAGCTAAACCGAGCTAACGCTAACTACCGCACATTTAGTCACCATGTTTACCTGCTGGGCTTCACTCTGTGCCTTCCCAGAATGCACTGCTACACAGAGGTGAAAGGAGAGATGAAGCAGACTCATGGTGGATGTGTTGGTACAGTAAAAGTGTGTGTGCAGTGTGTGTGTGTGTGTGTGTGTGTGTGTGTGTGTGTGTGTGTGTGTGTGTGTGTGTGTGTGTGTGTGTGTGTGTGCTACCTGTGGATGACGGTGAACAGATCCTCGGTGGTTCGCGGTCGATCGGAGACGAACATCTGATCCGCAGAAACAGTGACGAACACATCGCCTGGACGGGAGAACGAGAAGTATTTATTTACGTTTCAAAGAAGAGTACAAGTGTGAGCAACAGTTCAGACTCCTTTGGGTGGGAATCATGCTTCCCTTTTTTAAAACAGCATGACAGGAATACCATACTTAATGACAAACCTAGTCATAGTGGGAAAGAACATACACAATATAGTATACAAATCAATAAAGTTAAAGGTGAGAAGTATTTATTTACTACGTTTACACGATTAAGGTCATTGCCGTTTGTAAATAAAATAAAATATGGAGCTTACCGTCTTCATGTTTTCCGGTCGTCATCCTGCCTTCGTCGCTCCTGTCCTTCTCCTCTTCCTCTATCAGGAGATCAGGAAGTGAAGGCGCCCCAGGCAGGCTCTCATTGGACAGCGCACTGCTGAGGGAGCAGCTGCTTGGACCAATCAGAGCGCGGGGAATCTCTGTCGTCATCCTCACTCTTGTTTGCATCGTTCTCCCTTTCACCACATCCCGCTCGTCGTCGGATGAAGACGAAGACGATGACAGTGAGGAAGAGGAAGAGTAGGAGCGCCTCGTAGTCGAAGCGTTCATCAGCAGCTGTCGGCCCACCCTCCTCTTTCTCCTCTTCCTCGATTTGTCCTTTTTCCTGGTGGTTGTTGGCATCATCATCGTGCTCGTCTTCATCCCTCTCTCTTCCTCCTCTTCCTCTTCAGCCATCGATGACGTCATCATGATCCTCTGCGGTGTTTTGTCCTCATCTTTATGAAGTCTTGAGTTGAGGATCCAGGGGTCCGAGGCACCGTTTTGAAAGGAAGTGGCTCCGTTTGCCCCAGAGTCCCCCAAGGTACTACAAGAACCAAGGTATGAGGTTCCCCATGTTCCTGAGGTACTGAGGTTCCTAGAGATGCCCATGGTCCCTACATTGCTACAGGTCTCTGAAGTTCCACAAGTTCCTAAGGTATCTTGGTTCTCCAAGGTGCTTATGGTCCCCAGGGTGCTACAAGTCTCCGAGGTGCCCCTTGATTCTGAGGTACCACAGTTGGCCATATAACTCATGCTTGCATTGATAGTGTTTGGAGCCCCTTTAATACCAGAATACTCTGCAGTGCCAATGACCCCTGAAAGACCACAGTTCCTAGAGATGCCCATGGCCCCTAAGTTGTTAAAGGATCCTAAGGTATCCCGGTTCTCCGAGGTGCTTATGGACCCAAAGGAGCTACACATGTCCGAGTTACCCCATGATTCTGAGGTAACACAGTTCGCCAAAGAACCCCTGTAACCATTGATGGTGTTTGGAGCCCCTTTGATATCACTGTACTCTGCAATACCCTTAACTCCTGAGGGGTCACAGTACCCAATTATGCCATTGGTCCCTAGGTTGATAGAGGTCTCCATGGTACCTGTTGTTCCTGACGTACCACAGTTTTCCAAAGTACTCATGGTCGCATTGATAGTGTTAAGAACCCTTTTGGGACTCCGGTTCTCAGAAACACCCATGACTCCAGAGGGTCCCAAGTTCCCATTTATGCCATTTGTTCCTAGGTTACTTCTTGTCTCCATGGTGCTATTCAAAGTGTTTCTAGTATCTGTGATGTCTGGGGTAAAATGGTTCCCCAAGGTGCTCACAGTGCCACAGGTCTCTGAAATGATTCTTGATCCTAAGGCACCACAGTGGCTATAGATGCCCTTATTCCCTCGTGTGCTACTGGTCTCTGAGGTTCCCCATGCTCCTGGGGTACCACAATCTTCCAAGGTACCCATGTTGCAGTTTAAAGTGTTTCTAGCCCTTGTGTTATCCACGATCTCTGAGTTGACAATAGTATCTGATGTACTACAGCCCCCCAAAGTAGTTTTAGTCGCCCCTTTGATACTCTGAGTCTCGGAGAGTCCCATGATCCCTGAGGCATCATAGTGTCCGTATATTCTACTGGTCTGCAAGGTTCCCCATGTTCCTGAGGTACCACAGTTCTCCAATGTACCCATGTTGCAGTTTAAAGTGTTTCTAGCCCTTGTGGTTTCCACGATCCCTGAGGCACCCATGGTCTGTGAAATACCAACGACCTCCTGGGGGGCACAGTTCCCTTTGGACGACTCCCCGTGAGTTCCAAATTCAATGAGTTGTTTGATTCTTTCGGGGGAAAGATCTGGCTTCTTGTGCACAATCGGTGGTTTCTGCCTTTGGGGGGAGCTGGAAGGGGTCATTGATTCGTCAGGACTTGTGGTTCTTTCAGTAGTTTGTGCCAAGTGCTTTGGTGAAGGTGAGCTGCTGTTGGGAGGACTGTGCACAGGAGAGGAATCAGGGGGAAGCTGGGATTGCCTCTTTAACCCAACTTGTCTTCTTTTTGCCTCCGGGGACGCCATGAGACCCAGGACGCCAAGATCAGGTTTCTTTGGGACAGTCGGCTTCGTCGGGGAGCGGGGGTTCTTCTGGGTAGCTTCATTACAGACTATATTATTCTGTGGTAAATCACTAAAGGATGTTGGAACTCCATCAGCTGCACCATTCCACATTTCTGAATCATCCCTATTGTTTGTCTCCATGCCATCTTTGCTTGTTCTACTTTCTCTTTGTTTTGCTCCAGAGAGGGTCCAGTATGAAGAATCAGTGTTTCCTTGTTGTGCAGTTAGCATAGCGTCTGCTAACATTGTATCCGTGACTTGTTGTTGTTGTTGCTGTTGTTGTTGGACAGTTATTCTAGTGTGGTCTTCGTCAGTTCCGTCAGACATTTTGACCCAGGGACTATCAGGTGTGAAGACTTGAGTGTTTGCCAGTGTTGCATACATATCTGAATGCTCCTTCTCCAGATCAGTGTACTGCATATCTTGGGGTTTAGGCTCAGAGCTTCTCTGGTTAGCAACAGTGCTGTTTGGGCTCTGAAAATTAGCATTAGAAGACATATCGTTGGGTTTCCTTATGTCACTTTTTGTTGGGTTGTAGTTATCATGTTCAGCCTCCGTTACGTAAGCATTGGCTGGGCAATCAAGGTTAGCATTTCCAAATAAATCACTAATGATGTTAGCTTCATTGCTATCAAGATCACAGACAGCTTTTTGTGTCCCAGTACCAACTAGTTTAGCATCAGCATTAGCCGACACAGCACTGCCTAGATTGGCTTCTTTACTAGGTAGCTCGTGTTTAGCATTAGCAGAATCAACAAGCATGATGCTAGTTAGCAGGCATTCCTTGACGTGCCGAAGCTTGACGCCCTGCAGAGCTTGTGCAGTGATGAGAGGGGGGAGGTTTGGAGACTTGCGGAGTACTGG